GATGTTTGAAGATTAAAGAGTTTGATATACACTCTATTTTTTAAGGGAAAAATAATTTTAAAATAGCATTTGGTTTTTCTAAGTAATTGACTAATAAAACACAAGGTTGGTTAGTAATTATTTTGTTAACTCGATGAAGAATGACTATTTATTACTTGTACATTTGATAAGACAATTTTTGGAATTTCGAATTGCACAGATTACTTTATATCCATTGCATTTATGTTATTGTATTGTTCTTCAGACAGATTTGTATTCTTGGCTGGTATTTTTCTTAAGGTAACTTCACTTTTACCTATGAAAACTTTTAAGGGTTTGAAAGATTTGACCAGAACTGCACACCTACTACTATTCTCATGAATTCATTGCAAGCAAAAATTAAACTTTAAAATTTCAAACAACATGATTTACTTTATAATCAGTGAAAATTTCATATTAGATATTAAATATTAGTGTATTATTGACATTTTTTCTTCCAAATGAGAAGTGTAGTTTTTTTTGTGTGGTTTATATCATTAACTTTTTCTAATTCTTTGTGTGCTGTATTTAATATTTTTATTATATTATTAACCTTACCATAAAATTTAGAAAGGATCATTGTCAGAAGAATTCATAACTCTCTGACAGTAGGTAGATGTGTGCATCTGCCTTACGTGATCTGGAGTTTAGTCTTATAATATTAGGTTGTTGGCTTGTTCACCTTCTTGTAGTCTCTTGTCCCAAAGACTGAAACAGTGTCTCTTATATATAGTACTCCTGTCTAATTTTGACTTCTGAAATAAAAAAAAAACTACAATAAAAAAGAAATGGAGCTAGCTTAATAACCTCATAGTTTTCCAAAGCAATGGAAAATTTTAAGGGTATTTGTAGTAAGTGTAAACATACTTGTAACTATGTCAAGGAATAAAAACAGAAATACTACCTTGTCCCAGTGTGGCTCAGAGCGTAAGCCCTGTATTGAAGCGTAAGGGGTGCTACTGTGGTCTTTTTCCTGGCAGATTATGAAAGCATTATGACTTGTAACAAGTTTTCTTATATATCATTATCAAGCAGCTTTAGGAAACGTGTGTTTTGCCTACATGCTTTATTTAAATTCATTAATATTTCCCTGTTGCCTTTTTTCTGTATATGCACTCAATGTATTTTAAAGGGGAGGGATAAATAAAACAGTTCTAGTAACTTCACTTATATGGATGAAACATTTTTGTCAATTTAAAAGCTACATAAGTACAGACAAAAAAATTACATATGGTAAAAATGGGAAACCTGGAATTAAACTTTCGCCTCTGGCCTAGATGGAATAATAGGGATTGGGTTTATCCATATGAAATCTTTAAAAGAGACAAATATGGTGAAACGGTTTTCAAATAGTGGACATCACAAGGCATAGAACCGTGATCCCTGCAAGAGGAAAACAAGTGAGATCCAAGAGACTCATTGAACCCCAAGCACAAGAAATAAGAAAATTACACCAAAGCACATCATCAAAGTTTTAAGTACCAGAGACAAAGAAAAATTCTTAGGCAGCCCAAGTCAAAAGACACAGAGAAGCAAAGATAATGTCAGTGACAGTGAGTGACCTCTTCCAGGTACCAAAGGAAAATACACAACTTCAAATTCTATACCCAGCAAAAATATCTTTCAAAAATTCAAATGAAATCAAACCTTTTTCAGACTTACCTATAAAGACTGAAAGAATTCATCACAAGCAGGCTGGGCTGTAGGAAATGTTAAAAGAATGCCTTTATTCAGAAGGAAAATGATGCCAGATAGAAACCTGCTTTTATTCAAATGAATGAAGGGCACCAAAAATGAATGGTACATATGTGAACCAATGTAAGCCTCTTTTCTTATTTTAAATGATCTCTAAAGGGTAATTGACTATGTAAAGCAAAAATGATAAGGTGTTGTGTGGCTGCCATATGTAAAGTGAAATGTCTGATGACTATCAAGGATGGGAGGAGGAAAATACACATATTACTTTAAGGAGCCTAGAACGTGAGGCAGTATGTTACCTGTAAGTTGTCTGTGGTAAGAATGTACCATGTAAACCCTAAAGCAACCACAAAAAGAAAAACAATTAAAACTAATAACCCAAAGAAGATAGTGAAATGTAGCCATAAATAATCCAAAAGAAAGAAGGAAAAGAAGAAAGGGGAACAAAAAGTCGGACAAATAGAGAATAAGATGGTGGATTTAAACAGCAATATCAATAATTAAGTATAAATTGTCAGTTGCCCTTATTAGATTCCTTTTTATCCAAATATATACTGAATCTGAGAAATCCACTTTAAATATGAAGACAAATAGTTTTAATTTGAAAATATATTGAACTAAATGCAGATGATCAGAATTTGTGGAAATCAGGTAAAGCAAGTACTTAGAGGGGAATGTCATTAAATGTCTGTATTGAAAAAGGAAAGGACTCAATTCAGTTTCCATCATAGCAAGTGAAACAAGCAAATGAAAGAAGAAAGATCACAGAAGAAATAAATGCAGTAGAAAACAGGTCAAAGAATAAGTGAAATTAGGAGCTAATTCTTTAGCTCAATGAAATTGATAAACCTTTAGCCAGAATGATGAGGAAAAAGACATAAACTACCAATATTCGGGTAGAGTGAGAGAAGTAACTACTACAGATAGAATTTGATAGTGGGAGACAGTTTGGACAAACAAAATGCCAAACCCAAATGATGACACTGGTGAGTTCTTTCATGTTTAAAGGACAAAATATTTTAATTCTCAACAAATGCTTCCAGAAAATAGGAAAATTCCCAACTCATTCTTTGAGGCCAGCACTACGCTGATACCAAAATGAAAATGATATGCCGATATTCATCATAAACACATGCAAAAGTTCTACACAAAATTTCAGCAATTTAAATCCAAATATATGTAAAAAGGATAATACTGGGTTGGCCAAAAAGTCTGTATGGTTTCCTCTGTAAAAAAAAAAAAAAAAAAAAGGCTTTTTTTTTTTATTTTTTATTTTTGCCAATTACTGATCTGGGTATTTTGAGTATGCTGGCTATATTTCATGTGGTATAAAGTTGATCTCAGTGTCTCGATTTGATCACTATCAACTTCAAGTGGTCTCCCTGACTGTGGAGTATCATCCAGTAAGAAATCTCCAGCATGAAACTTTGCAAACCACTTTTGACATGTTCCATTACTCGGAGCAGCACCTTCCCCATACATGGCAAAAACCTTTTTTGCATTTCAGTTGCATTTTTACCTTTCTTGAAATAAAGCATAGTATGCCAAAAATGTTTCATATTTCCCTTCCATCTTCAATATTAAAATGGCTACACAAAAATTTACCAATTTTGATAAGTTTTTTTAAAAATGCACACTGTTACGACAGCTGTCACACTACAATCTAACAGAATTGTTTCAAATGAGGTTAAAGACAAGTAAATTCTACTAGAGCCATGGTGCAGAAAAAAACAAACTTTTTGGCCAACCCAAAACATTTGACTAGTGAGGTTTATCTGAAAAATGCAAACTTGGGCTAACTTTAGAAAGTTAATGTAACACCATATCAACAGAGTAACATGAAAACTATGATCATCTCAATCATAGTACAAAAAGAGCATTTGACGAAATCTAGCAATGATTTCTGATAAAAACTCTCAGCAAAGTAAGAAAAAAACCCTCAATTTCCTCTAACTGATAAAGGGCGTCTTAAGAAAAACCTGCAGTTAACTTCATACTTTATGGCGAAAGATTTCATCCTTTCCCCCTTAGATCAAACTAAGGATGTCCACTAACTTACATTAAAGGCACTAAAGTTTCTAGCCAAGACAATCAGGCAAGAAAAAGAAAGAAAAGACTTCCCAGATTAGAAATGAGGGAGTAAAAATGTCTTCACATATGACACATTCTATTACAGAAAACCCCTATGGGACGTATAAAACATCTGAAACCAATAAGTGAGTTTAACAAAGTTACAGTATACAAGGTTAACATACAAACATCAATTGTATTTTTATATACTAGCAAAAAATTGAAATAAAAAACCAATACTATTTATAGTTGCATCAAAAGTATGAGATTTTTTTTGGTGTAAATTTGATAGAAGTTATGTGAGACTTGTACACTGAATCCTACAAAATATTACTAAGAGAAAGGAAACTTGGAGAAATGGAGGGATATGTCAGGTCCTCAGACTGGAAAGCTCAATATTGTCAATTCTTCACATTTTAGCTGTATCTATTTTTACAGTAAATACTTAATCTGGTAAGTATTTAATAGCATTTATTTCATTTTTCAGCTTAGAATCTCCATTTGGTTCTTTTTTCATAGTTTCTAATTCTCAAGTTGAAATCCTAATTTTCAAGTTTCTAATTACAAGTTGAAATCTTGTAATTTAATTCTTTGAACACATTCACTTTAGTTACTTTAAAGTCTGTCTGATAAGCACTTCTGGATAGCCTATGCATTTCTCATTATTTCACATTCTTTCTCTTAGTTTTTGGTCACATTGTGCCTTCTGATCATGAATATTTGAGTGATTGACATCATTTCACAAAACTGTAGAAATACTTTGAGTCTCTGAATATGATTAGTTTCTCCTGGAGAAGAAGATTTGCTTCACTATAGCAGGCAGCTGGGCTGTAGGAACGAGCACTCCTGTGTCATTTTTTTTTTTTAATTGTTACCTGGTAATATTTTTGCTTTTCATTTGTTTTAGAGAGAGAGGAAGGGAGAGAGAAACATCGATGCCGTAGAGAGACATCAATTGGTTGCCTCCGGTACATGCTTGGACTGGGGATCAGTGCCCTGATGTGGGGGTCACATGTGCCTGTGCCCTGAGTGCGGATAAAACCTACAACTTAGGTATATGACCTGATTGACAGTTAACCTTGTAACGTTTTGGTTATGGGATGACACTCCAACCAACTGAGCGCCACTAATTAGGGCTCTCATGTCATCTCAATTCAATTAAGAGTGAGGTGATTCCAAGTTGAGTTTAAGTCCCTGGTCTATTCTTATTTTCAAGGTGTAACACTTCAGAGTTCCAACCAAACCCTTGGAGTTCTCCTACAGCCATCTTGCCTGGTGAGTCATGAACTCATTTTTGTCTCCATCTCTGTAGGGTTTTGCAAAGTTCTGCTTCTTACCTTGTTGATGTTTAAAAGTGCTGTTTTACATTTGAAGCTAACAATGCCAGACAAGTTAGTACTATAGATAATCACTGTATCTTATCTAAAATATTTCTAGTTAAGTATTATGTATTAAATTATAAAGTTGTACATACTTAGACAGATGGAGCCCTTAAAGACTACAAAGTTACAAAGATAAGGAGATAGTATGTTTAAATTATGTTATTTGGCCCTGGCTGGTGTAGCTCAGTGGATTGAGCATGGGCCTGTGAAGCAAAGGGTCACCTGTTTGATTCCCAATAAGGGCACATGCCTGGGTTGCAGGCCAGGTGCCCAGTAGGGGACACATGAGAGGCAACCACACATTAATGTTTCTCTCCCACTCTTTCTCCTTCCCTTCCCCTCTCTCTAAAAATAAGTAAATAAAATATTTAAAGAAATAAATTGTTATCTGTTGGAAAATCAAGGGTGTGGCTATGGAAAAACTATAGTTAGAACCTCTGAAAGGAAAAAGATATCTTATAGTAAGCCAGTGGTTCTCAGAATGTGGTTTGGTGAGCCCTGGGAATTCCCAAAAATGCTCTGGGAGGCTTATGTGCTCAAAATTATTTTCATAATAATATTGAGACATTGTCTTTCTCACTCTTGTTTTTCAGTGGTGTAGAGTGGAGGTTCCCAAAGGTTCCATAACCTGTGACTACATCATTGCCTGATATCCAATGGAGTTGGGTGCTTGTAAGTTCTTGTACTTTCTAGAGTTTTCTAAAGGAAACTCTAGACTCTTCAGTAATTTTTAATAGTATGAAAAAGACCTGAGACTAAGAAAATTGAAAGCCTGCAGTATGCCTTTTGCAGCTGGTAAAAAGGACATGAAGCCTAAGGGCATGGTCCCACAGTCTGGTGTGTGTGAGAGAGGAACATGTCTGGGAAAGAACTGTGGGCACAACTTGACTTTTCACCCACAGAGTAGACTGGAATCAAATATGTAGGAGTTCACAAATGTTCTGGGCAAACTAGCAAAAACACTGCCGTCTAGGAGTAAAAGAGATGGAAGCTTTTAAAAAATACAACAAAAAATTCTTAGGGCACTCAACTTTCTAATGCAGGAGACAGGCTGAGAAAATTGCTCAGTTGTCAAAATGGCATATTTCCCAAAGCCCCTTTCAGAAATGGCTGAGGAGGAGAAGGAAGATAAAAAGGGGAGGATATCTCAAAGAGCAGAGTCAAAAACCTTGGGGACCAAAGGACTGGGGAGGCACTACCAGGGAGCAGAGCCCCAGTCCCAGTCAAGGACATTCCCCATCCACAGAGCAGCACTGGCCCAGCGGGATTCCATTGCTGTTGGCCAGGTCTGCTATGAATCTCCCATTCTCTTTAAATTGGAGTGATTATGTAGTTATCCTGTGCCAGTTTTACCATTGTTGGTAGGCTGTGCGTGAGTGAGTGACAGAAAGAGGAGAGAGGGAGAGATATGGGATGGGGTAGATGGCTTATTTTTTAATCCATTTTCTATAAATAAAGACCAATCAGCGTTCTTTTCAAAATGAGACACACAAATCTAGTCTAGATTACAGGATCATGAACCTTGAGCCAGAGGCTGTGTGTGATTGGACGCAACTTTGAGAGTCCTTGGTTGGGGGCGTGCATACACTGCACTGGGAGGGACGTGAATTATTGTGAGCCAGGGAGCAGAGTGTGGCATTGCATTATTGTTGCCAATCCTTCACCCCTGCTTGTATTCCTGCCCTTAGCTATTTAACTTTGCCATTTTTACTAAAAGAGGAGGAGTATATTCCCCACCTTGTGGCTTTAGGTTTGGCCATGTGGCTTTGTTTGGACAATAAAGCTGAAATGATTGTGTACCAACTCGAAGCCTAGGCTTTTAGAGGTCCTACATGTTTCCACACGCTCCCTTGTACTTCCAACGTGGACATTAAAAAACAACAAAACATGAAATGCTACCCAGGCTAGCCGCTGGTCTCAAGAGGAGCATGAAACAAATAAAGCAGAGTTGTCTCAGCCAATCCATTCAGCCCAACTGACCCTCAGATCTCTGAGAGTAAATGCCTTCCATTGTACGCCAGTGAGAGTTTTTTGGCTGTTCATTAAGCAGCAGTGGGAAACTGATAAACATCTCCACTCACCTCTATTCCAGCCACAATGACTTAGAGCTTTAGCATGCCTTGCTGAGGTGTTTGCAAGAGCCTCCTAACTAGGCTTCTGTTTTCCTCTGTTCCTTCTTGTCTGTTGTGCACACCTCTACCAGAGTTGTCTTCACCCAAAAGGCAAATCTAATTGCCTATAGGAGGAAGCCACGGTCTTCGGTGCGGCATCCTCGTCCTTCCTTGAATATTTGTCTGCTGCTGCTCCACATCCCGCTCTCAGGGTTCGGAGAGCGAGCACTGTGCCATTTCATTCTTCTCCGTGCCTGGCGAACTCCTGCAAATGCTTCAGGACATTTCTCATGTGTCACATCTTTTGTGACACTTTTCCATGATGAAAAGGCAATCACGCTCTCTTCTATGCATCCACATATTCATTTTCTACCACTTACAATTTTTATAGAGTTGGGATGATTTGTCTCCTGGTCCTTCTCCCGAGTGGACAGAGGCCCTTTCTGAATGCTTCCTGCGGCTGCAATGTCTAGTGGGACGCTTTGAGCTCTATAGACATTCACTGCCATCTCATATCTAATTGTATTGGTTGTTGGAAAAGGTGGAAAAGGTGGAATACATGTAGGAATTGTTACAAATTGTTCATTCCTCTAATTCCCGGATGGTGTTTATGATATATACAGTAAGCCAGAAATTTGATTAATCATAATCCTCCTCCTTTCACACGTCAAATAATAGCATGCATTTTAGTAGATTAAATTCATGAACATAGAAAAATGACAATAATGGTTGAAGATGGTTGACATGCCCTTGATGTAGATATTGTGAGTCCTTTTCAAGTGAAATTTATTAGCTCACTTAAAATTAAAATGTCAAAATTCAATTGTGCTTCATTTTGTATTCAGACAAGTTGAACTTTTCAAAATATCTTTGAAGCACATCTTATGTTAAAAGACACCTATTATTTGAATACTAGTGAAATAAGAAAACATTTGTTTCCTCATTTTTAAAATCACACACACCAGATATTTATCTGCCAACAGGAGACTGAAGAATATCTGGATGCCTAAAGACTGCTACCATTACTGCACTATTTTTATCACATCACAGTCAATGACTTTGGTGAAGAACGAAGTTGTCCAAACTTAATAGGAGGCAACTACTGGCACGTGAGTCACACGAAGGAGCCTGTGCAACACTGAAGAGGAAGGGGGACAGATCAATAAGGGCCTTGTAAGACAAGACACCCTCTTTCATGACCTCACAGTGTATCGATATAAATGCTTATCCCTGAAATCCTCTCATTTCCCACTCTTACTCATCTTTAAAGATATACCTAAAGTCACCCAACTATGTTGGGGCTTTGGTCACTTTACTCAGGAAGAGCTGGCTATTACTGTCCCTGTTCTCACCGTAATTTTTGGAAATCTTTTTCATATCGCCTTTTTTCTGCAGGGGTAGCTATGTGTTTACTGTTCCCTTGTGCTCTTCATGTCAGGAATCATGAGTTACTCTGCGCTGAATCTCTAGTCCTGGACCCACAGTACAGGGCTTGACACATGGTGGGTACTCTATAAACTGTAACGAATGAGTGAAGAATGAAAATGGGCTAGGGTAGTAATAAAATGATTGTGGAAAACTAAAGTAAGAGAAAACAGGAAAACAGCTGAGTGCACAGAAGACAGCGGAATTTTTCCAGAGTTTTATCCGAATGTAAGGATGGGAATATAAAGCACGGTTGTGAATTTCAACAAAGGGCACATGACAGAGCATCTTGAGATTTCCGGGCTAGAAAACGTGGGCTTCCTGTAACTTAACATCCAATGGGGAATATGTATACACCAAATAGTCTCACAGATACATAATTTCTAATTTCATAAAGCTCTCTAAAGGAAATATACAGTGTGCTAGAATAATAATCAGCAAGGAAGCCTGATCTGGCAGGGGTCACTTGAATAAGTGACATTTGAGATGAGACCTGAAGGTTGAGCAGGGGTCACCTATTTGGTAAAAGTCGAAAGAGTTGTGCATTCTGAAGAGAAACCAGAGTATTGTTTTGGGGATGAAGAGTGTCAATGATCAGGTTGGAGAGGAAGCTCAGAATCAAGTTGCAGACCACATGATCATTTGTGTCCTTATCCTGTGAAAAAAATGGGTTGAAATTTTTTAAGCAAGGTGGGCTTGGAGTTGGGAGAAAGAGAGAGATCTGATTTGACTTGCCTCTATGGAGGGTTATCATGGGGAGGTGGAGGAAGGACAATGGGGGAAAAGGTATGGGGAATAAGAAGCATAAATGGTAGGTACAAAATAGACAGGGGAGCTTAAGAACAGTATAGGAAATGTAGAAGCTAAAGAACTTCTATGTATGATCAATAGGCATGAACCAAGGAGGGGGGAACCTGGTAGGGGAGGTGCAAGGTGGAGGGGAATAAAGAGGGGAAATGGGACAACCGTAATAGCATAATCAATAAAATATGTTTAAAGAAATAAAAATAAAATTAAAAGGTCCCTGAATAACAGACTAAGAGTATAAGACAAATACCACATGATCTCACCTTTAACAGGAACCTAAACAACAACACAAACAAGCAAGCAAAACATAACCAAAGACACTGAAACAGAGAACAGGCTGACTAGTGACCAGAGGGGAGAGGGAATGCAATTTCAGGAGAAAAGGGGAAGAATTTACAGGAACAAGTATAAAGGACACATGGACAAAAACTAGGGGGGGGGGCGGAAATGGGAGGGAGGTGGGGAGCAGGGGACGGGGTGGGCTGTGATGGGAGTAAAGGACAGGAAACTGTACTTGAACAACAATTAAAATAAATTAATTAAAAAAAGACAACCCATTAACATTTCATGTAAAGAAAATAAAAGAATGGATGCTGGGAGATGAGACTGGTTAGGAGACCTTTAATGGTGCTGGGAGTAGACCACAGTAACTTGATCAGGAAATGGTGGAGGAGCTTGAAAATACTGGACAGCTTCAATTTTACATGGACTCAGTTGCGGGGAATTGGATATGGAGAGTGAAGGTGAGGGAAATGTTTCTAGCCTCAATGGCTAGGTGAATGGTAGTCCAGAAAGAACAGTGAAATAGGAGGATGTTTGGAGAGGTCAGAGACCGTGAGGTCTGCTGATGGAATATTGCATACATGTGGTCTTAGGCTCAGAGGAGAAATCTGTGTGAGAGATGATAAAGATTTTCACATATCTGTGCTTGACTGGTTTTTGACAAAAGTGACAGACAAGACCATTCAGTGGGGGAAAGAACAGTCTCCTCAACAAATGGTGTTGGGATAACAATATGCAAAAGGATGAAGTTGGATCCTTACCTCACATCATTTATAAAAATTAACTCATAATGAGAACTCAAAAGACCTAAATTTAAGAGCTAACACTTTAAAACTCTTAGAAGAAAACAGGGGTAAATCTTCATGACCTTGGATTTGGCAATGATTTCTTTTTATTTTGTAAATGATTTCTTAACTATGACACCAAAGCAAAATCAACACAATAGAAAAGGATAGTGGAACTTTATTGAAATTAAAAACTTCTATGCATCAGAGAACACTATGAAGAGAGTAAAATCTCAACCTACCGAATGGGAGAAAATATTTACCAATCATATATCTGTGAAGGGTCTATTCAAGAATATGCAAAGAACTCTTACAACTCAACAACAAAAAGACAACTCAATTTAAAAATGGGCAGGGGACTTGAATAGACATTTTTCCAAAGAAGATATATAATAGTTAAAAAACCTCATAAGAAAGATACTCAACCTCATTAATCATTAGGCAAATGCTAATCAAAACCACAAACAGCACTTCACATCCACTAGGATGACTATAATTTTTAAAAAACCAAAATCACAAGTGTTGACAAGGATGTGGAGAGTTGGAACCTTATACATTGTTGGTGAGAATATAAAATGGCACAGCCATTATGGAGAATACTTAAGCACTTTTTCAATAAGTTAAACGTAAAAATACCATATGAGCAAGCAATTACACTCCTAGCTATATATCCAAAATAACTGAAAAACAGGTATTCAAGCAAAAATTTGTACATTAATCTTCATAGCAGCATTATCCACAATAGTTAAAATGTATATAAAAACAACCCAAATGTCCATCAACAGATCAATGGGCAAACAAAATGTGGTACCTCCACACAGTGGAATACTTTTCAGCCATGCAAAGGAAGGAAATACTGATACATGCTACAACATGACCCTTGAAAAAATTATGCTAAGGGAAAGAAACCAGACATGAAGTCCATATAATGTAAGATTCCATTCACATAGTATATTTGGAACAGGCAAGTCCATAGAGACGAAAAGCAAATCAGTGGTTGCCAAGGGCTAGGGGGTGGGAGAAAATGGGAAGGTGACTATTTAATGGGTCTGGGTTTCCGTTTGAGATGATGGTGAAATTCTGGGACTCGACAGTAGTGATGGTCATGCAACATTGTGAATATGCTCAATACCATTGAATTGTATACTCTAAAGTTGTGAAAGTGGTAAGTTTTTAGTGTGTTTTTACCATGATTAAAAAATGAGGGTATTTGTTGGCGTCTAGGTGTTATTGAAGGCCTGTGGTTGGGGGGGGGGATCACCTAGGGAGCAGGTATGAAATGAGAAGAGGGACTATGGTCAAGAGTCGAGTAAACATCACATTTTAAAGGACAGGTAGAGCAGGTAGAGGAGAGGGCGACAGCACTGGAGACTGAAAAGGAGCAGCAGAGCAGTGGGAGAGAAAATGAGAAAATGTGGTACCATCATGTCATCGGTGAAATGCTGCTTAAGCCCCCCATCAGTGAAATGGGGAGCTTCTGAAGGTTTTTGAAGCAGTGATGGGGTCCAAGCTTTTCCTTAGGAAAATTCATCTAGCAATTGGGTGCCAGGAAGACTGGAGGAAAACCTGGAGTGAAGGGAGGCAGTTAAGGACTATTCCCATGGAGACGATCTGCAAAAAGTATAAGTGGAACTAATTGCCTTATGACCCAGTGATTCCACTCCTGGGTTTATATATGAAGAAAGTCAAAACACGGATTTGAAAGAATATATGCATCCTATGTTCATTCAGTGTTGTTTATGATAGTAAAGATATGAAAGCAATCCAAGTACCCATCAATAGATGAGTGGATAAAAATGCTGTGGTATACCTACACAACAGAATATTACTTGGCCATAAAAAAGAACAAAATCTTACCATTGAAGACAACATGGGTGGACCTAGAGGATGCTATGCTAAGTGAAATAAGTCAGACAAAGACAAATATCATATGGTCTCACTTATATGTGGAATCAAAAGAACAAAATAAATGAAGAACCAAATTTGAAACAGATTTAAATACACAGAGAACAGACTGATGGTTGCCAGAGGGGAGAGGAGTTGGGGAACTAAGTGAAAAAAGAGAAGGGAGTAGGAAGTACAAATTTGTATTCACAAAACAGTCATGAGGATGTAAAATACAGCACAGGGAAGACAGCCAATAATATTGAAATAACCACGTGTGGTGCCTGGTGGGTACTGGAAATACTGCGGGAACACTTTGTAAAGTATATGATTAACCACTATGCTGTACACTTGTCACTAATACAAAAATTATTGAATGCAACCTACAACTGAACAATAAAATTTAAAATAACAACAGCAACAAAAAGAACTATTCCAATGGAAAAGATAGGTCGGATTTGAGCAATGTCATGGAAGTAGGAGAAAACTGACAACATGGTAAGTTAGCTTGGTGATCTGGATGTTCGAACTTTTATTAACAGGAAGAAAAGAATTCAACATTTCTCAGACCAGTGTATGGACCATTTTGAGCTGAACTATTTTTTTAGGCTTGTACCATCTTTTAACTCTCATAAGGTACTTGATGCAGAAGTTTTTCATATGTATGAAATTTTAAATTTCTGGAGAGTCTTACCCAAATTTAGGGCTCACTCCATGCTCTCGTCATTTTAAGTAAGTTATATAGACCTTTAGCTGCACCCTTTTAGATTTCCTTTTCTTTTTATGTAGAAAAAATCATGCACTCAGGGCTAGAAGTCCCCTTAGAGGTCATCTATCTCAATTCAGTCCTTCTACACCTGATGAGAGGTTCATGGAGGGTCTCCATGGATTAGTGGCATCGCCATCCTGGGGGGCCGTGTCCTGCTCTGGTTTCCCCCCTCCCTCTGTCATTCGTCCCACTGGACACTTGTCAGTGTTGTCAGATGGCAGAGGTGTAGGAATGTAGTCCTAATTTCATTTCTTAACAAAACACATCTGAAGTACCTACTGTGTCCTAGTGGCTGTTTTATTCCTGGAAATAAAGAAGAAAATATGAGTCATGCCCCCGAAGTGTGCTAATTTGAAGGAATGTTTAGTTACTTTCCAGGACTCTTTTTGATGTTGCATAGGATGATAGCTTTTTTGGCTGTTGTAAATAGTAAATAACATTTTTTATCATACAGTGTGAGGATTCAGACAGAAGGGTTTAGAATAAATCTGTCATGGCCATGGACTGTGGGTTTCAAAACTTAGTCAGCGTTGTAGCCTCAGGTATTCAGCATCATAATGCTCTTAATTCTTAACGTTAGTGTTTCTGGTGCACAAAGTGCAGTGTGACTTGATGGGAAGGGAGTCAAGTCATTGGTTTTATTCTTATTCCAGATTCTCTGTTCTCAAAGCTGTTGTTACTATGCATTGAGGCTTTTGTTCAGAACTTATAAATTTCCAGTTTGTCTTGGTGTTTGTCAACTTGACATTTGGTGTCTATTGTCTGCCACGCAAGCATATGTTTACCTTCAGTATAACTTTGGAATAATGGATGCTTTCATCTTGTGGTTCTCAACAATATTGCTAGCTACTGTCTATTCCATCCTATTCAGAGATTAAGCACTTTTTTTTTTTTACAATCAATTTATTCATCCAGTTTATCCTGTGACTAGAAGTCCACAGTTTTTTATTGAAAATGCTTGGGGCTTCAG